CATTTGGGATTTCTAACAGCCAGAACAGTAAGATAATCCATCTTTATTGTTTATGAAACTCACTTGTTGTAATTTGTTACAGCAGCAGTGGGAAACTAATAGACTACTGCATTCATCAGAATTCATAGACTTCTGAAGGTTTTAGAAATACTTTTTTTGTCTCTCTTTTTCCTTTTTTCCTCTTTATTTGCTTCTTACGTAAGCAAGAAATTTGTATAGAAAAATTGGAAAACATAAATAAACAAGAAAATATTATAAAATGTATCTGAAATTCCCAGACCCAGGGACGGTGAGATGTATCATTCTAGTGCTTGCTGCTCCATGCTTCTTCCTGTGCTGATATAGAGATAAAAGGCATGCTTATTCATACATCTGCATATTTTCACCCATGCACATTAATATCTATGCACACGAATGCATGCACATGTGCACATGCCCACACACAAGCATTCACCTTTGCAAATGTGTGAGCATGCGTACACACACCAAAGTTAGGATCCTGGCCCCAGAATTGATTTTTAACAACTTTGGGTATTCAAAAAACCCACACACCCCTGATATTTTGGAGATCTGACATATTTAGGAATGTTTAGAAGAATGTGCCCTAGCTGCTGAAAGTACTTTCATAATCATTTTGATCAATGATAGCATGGATGTCCTATATGTATAGCATCTCATATGATAAACTGGGGGACAAAGAAGCGTTTATTTATATTATGCCATCTGAGTTCTATTATTTTGTAGTCATACTTGATAAAGAGCTTTTGTTGACTTCTGAGTGCCATTCTCTGTAGTAACTTATGATTGTGCAGGGCGAAAAGCACATCAGAAACCCCATCACGTTAACAAGGAATTATGGAGACCTTCAGGGATTACATAAAGACACCAATTCACTTAAAATACACAGAGCAGTGTCTGCATATAATTTAGAAAGGAGCTAGCCTCTACTACACAAATCAGGAACCTGTTTTTCTATGCTGAGAGAAAAGGTTTTTTTTTTTTTTTTTTCTTAAACTAGCAGGCCAGAATCCTGTGCCAACATCTCTCTGGGAAGCCCAGGCAATAATTTGCAATCTTGTCTTTCATTAGCATAGTGCAGAGCATTTAGGACTCATAAAAATACCACTTAGCAGAACGATGTAAGTTCAAGTACTCTGTGAGTTGTGCTTTTTCGTTATTATTTTTCTGTTTTAAAGATAAAAAGCTCCATTAATTTCAATTTTGTCAGATTCAATATGGTCGGTGTACATCGAGTACTCTATATTATACAGATACCTGCAAAACTGTTCTTGACCTTCAGATGTAGTTTAATGGGGAATATGACTTCCCAAATAACCGCAATATAAGGCAAATTTCCCATGACAGATAAAAGCTCTAAATGCATTGCAAAGAGAAAGAGTGTCTCACATATTTAAAAGCATTGGGTGAACGACTGCATTAAAGAGGAAACATTTAGGGTAGGTTTGAAATTCTGATAGGATTTGTCTGCCTAGGAAGGAACATTAATAATATCAGAAGCATGTGGGTGGGGTAAATTTTGGTTTTCCTGGAGAGAGGTCCAATAAGAGGAGAGCCATGTGACAAACCTGAAACATGTTTGAAGTCTTAATCTGGAGGTCTTTGGAGGCTGGCATTTGGAAAAAGCTAGCTTACCTTTCTTCCAATTTGGAACATTAGTGCTTTATGAAGAGCTCGACTTTCTGTCTGATATGGTTTGGCTCTGTGTCCCCACACCAGTCTCAGGTAAAATTGTAATCCTTATATTGAGGGGCCTGGTGGGAGGTGATTAGATCATGAGGGCAGACTTCTCCCTTGCTGTTCTCTTGGTAGTGACTCCTCACGAGATCTGGTTGTTTAAAAGTGTGTAGAACCTTCCCCTTCACTCTCTTCCTCCTGCTCCACCATGTGAAGAAGTTGCCTGCTTCCCCTTCACCTTCTGCCACAATTGTAACTTTCTTGGGACTTCCCCAGCCACGCTTGCTGGATAGCTTGTGGAACTGTGAGTCAATTAAACAGTTTTTGTTCATTAATTACCCAGTCTTGGTTCTTTATAGCAATTTGAAAATGGACTAATACAGTGTCCAAGCCACTCAGTAGTCTGGTACATCATTTTCCCTGACTCCCTTCCTCATGGACTAGGTCACAACATCTTTATGCCTCTGTTTTTCTCTATTTGGAGATAATAATTTCTTTTAAATTATGTTTTAATTTAATTTCCCTCTAATCTAATTCCTTAATACATTTATATTGTTTTAATAAAACAAATGCTAGTTTGCACACCAAGATAAATGAAATGTTAAACTATGATACAAATATTCTTACTAGGAAAGTATTCATATCAGAATTTATGAAAGGAATATAAAACATAGAAAATATAAAGAAAATCTCCTCTGAGATTTTGAACTTAGCCTTCTCAGATTCCTACTAACTGCATCCAGGTTTAGGCTTTCTTCTTTATACCAAAACCAAACAAACAAGAAAAGACAATATAAAAGAATGAGAGAATTTTGAAGCACTCCTAACAGCTTCAAGGAGACATTGTTGAAGTTTTATTTTAAGAACTTTGAAGAAAAGTAAAAGGAGTTTATGTTATTTAGTCTGTAGAAAAGTGGCTGAGGTATTCAGTCCAATATCATGGGCCAAGACTGAACTCTTTCTCTGAGTATGCATAGCTTCTAGGGCAGGAATTCAAAATGACCTGGAACTTGAAACAGCCTGAAACAGCTCTAAGGTGGCTTTTTGCAGTGCTGTGGGCAACAGTTGCCAGACCATAGCTCCCTTCCTTTCTTCTCAAATACAACACCATTATCCTTTAGTGCACCAGAATGGAACATTACCTTCCATGCTGTTTTCACACTGAAAGTGAAAAAGGTATCATGCGAACATGTATTTTTAAGTTATGAAGATAGTTTGAAGATCATTTAGTGCTGGCTTTCATGTTAAATAAACAAACAAAACCAGGTCAGGCACAGTGGCTCGTGCCTGTAATCCCAGAACTTTGGGAGGCTGAGGAGGGCAGATCACTTAAGGTCAAGAGTTCAAGACCAACCTGGTCAATATGGTGAAACCCCGTCTCTGCTAAAGATACAAAATTAGCCGGGTGTGGTATCGGGCACCTGTAATTCCAGCTACTCTAGAGGCTGAGGCAGGAGAATTGCTTGAACTCAGGAGGCAGAGGTTGTAGTGAGCCAAGATTGTACCCCTGCACTCTAGTCTGGGGGACAAGAGTAAAACTCCATCTGAAACAAACAAACAACAAACATCTCACACACATACACACATTCACATGCAGACATGTACACACACAGCAACAAGAAAACTTTTCTCCTATTTGCTAATGTAAGTCTTTCTAATTTTTTATTTCTTTGGGAAACTGTAGGTAGAATAGACTATAGTAACGGCCAAGGAAGTACTATAGGATGTGATGAGGGTTCATTGGTTGAAAGTGAAAGAAAATGCTCACTCTACGGCCAAGAGAGCAATTTAAGATACTATGGCTGTATACAAGACAATACATTTGTATTTGGTTTCTCCTGGATAGACAGGGTTAAAACTCTCATATCACTGTTCATTTCATTGGTTGTTTTTCTTTTCTTTTCTAGGGTTTTGGGTTTAAGTATGTTGACGCTGTGTTAAGCACAAAATGATTCATGTCAGATTGTCAGAGTAGATTGTGCCCTTCTCTTGTTCAATGTGCTCTGCCTTTAGTTTATTCATTTATTTTTTTGCATTATTTTACATTTGTGAGATATTGATTCCCAGATCCATATTTTCCTCTTCTTCATATTTTTCTGATACATATTTTTGTATCATTTTAATTCCATTCTTACATATAGCATATACTTAGGTTTTTATTTGGATCCAAGTTGGAAGTCATTTCCTTTAGAATGTGAGTTTATCTCATTCATATTTCTTGTGCAACAGATTCACTTGGCCTTAATTCTGCTCCTTTATGTTATGTTATGGTCTCTGTTTGTAGTATTTTCTTTATTTCCAACTTTTACTACAGTATTTGTATGCTTTGTGTGTGCTCTTTCTGGTCATATAGACATTCAAGGCTGTTGATTAGTTTTCCTGATGACTGCCTTTATAATTTCATAACATAATGAACCTCTGCAGCTTGATTTACCAACTCTAGGCAATATTTATTCACTCCCAACTCCAAAACAACCTTTACTCCCCATTTTAGAAGACTGGAGGTGGAAACAAGCTGAGTTAACGATAAGTATTAAGGCATTTGAGGGTGAAGGTTGTGGGATATGTCTGGAAAAGTCTGGAGCATGACGGTTTGTGGGCAAGCCTAGGCAAGCCTATGGGCAAGAAAAATAGTGAGGAAACAAAAAGGGTTATGGGCCGGGCGGGGTGGCTCACACTTGTAACCTCAGCACTTTGAGAGGCCTAGGCAGGCGGATCACCTGAGGTCAGGAGTTTGAGATCAGCCTGGCCAACATGGTGAAATCCCATCTCTACTAAAAATACAAAAAAAAAAAAAAAATTAACAGGGCATGGTGTCAGGAGCCTGTAATCTCAGCTCCTCGGGAGGTTGAGGCAGAAGAAACGCTTCAACCCGGAAGGCAGAGGTTGCAGTGAGCCGAGATTGCACCACTGCACTCCAGCCTGGGCAATAGAGGAAGACTCAGTCTCAAAAACAGAAATCATAAAAGCGCAATCCATTGACGAAAAGGATGTAACTGGGCATGTTGGAAGCACAAAGGGCATGGAAAGGAGCCTGGGCAACACCCGTAGGGCAATGGCCATTCCAGCCAAAGGGGCAGGGGTGGCTGGAACGAGCCCAGGGACGAGATCCTAGGAGGCCTCGTCCACTTGGCCTCCATCCGGAGTCCTTGCATCCCACCCCAAGAGGAGGAGCCAGAAGATTGTGGGGACGGAGGCCCCAAAGAGCCACACCCACTCCAGTCCACAGTAACCTATGGTCGGTCCCTTAGGGGGAAGGAGAGGCGTGGCAGCAGGGGTTTGGCGCTACGCAGTCCTTCACTCGCATGCGCACTGAGCTGACCAATCAGCGAGGAGCGCGGGAAGCCAGGTCGGGTCTCTTTCCAATAGAGTCTTGTGGTGCCAGCGTCTGTAGGTTCTGTGAAGGAGACATATCAGGGGTCCCTCAGGTGACACGCTTGAGGCGGCGAGGTGGGAAGGCGGGCACGAGACCCTCTGGGAACCAGGGTGTGAAGAGCTGGGTGCCGGCTGACCTGTGAGGAAATGGTCCTGAGGTCCTCACCTGGGGCCTGGGTCAGGGCGAGGCACTGAGGGTAGACCGGGGTGAGCTGGAGCAGGGAGGGAGTTGGAGCCACCTGGGTAACCCCCCAGGACCCAGAGTGTCCTGGGGGCTTCTGTAGGTGTGCAGGGGGGAGGGGCTGACGGTGGGAGGGGGAGTGGGGCGGGCCGGGGGCGTTGTGGGGGACAGTTTGAGTGGGTCCCCCCTGCCCAACATCCTGTCAGGACAGGACACTTCAGGTCACTGGGGATGCCCTGTGCATCCAGGAGGGCGAGTGGCAGTGAAGCCCCTGACATTCCTCTGGAGATGGCTAGGGAGACCCTGTGTCACTCTGCGGCCCTCCCAGCCAGTCAGGGTCTCTTGGGGATCCAGGGGCAAGGCTGAACTCTGTCCCAAAGGCGCGGGGAGGATCCTGCAGAGGCCGTTGAGTTCAGGTGTGTGAGGCAGCTGTGAACTCTGCAGCCACCCCGGGGGACGGGCTGGACGAGCCAGGACGGGAGGGGACACTGGCATCTTCTCCGTCCCCTCCTGCTCCCACAGGAGACTCGGGGAGGGTCAGCCCCACCCATCTTGAACTCGCGGTCCCGATGGCTTTCCTTTTCGACGCCTCTTTTCCTTAGCTTCCTTAGTTGTCTTTGCGCTCATCAGGTTCAGGGGTCGCCTGTAGCTTCCCAGGACGGTCAGCCATGGCACCCGTCAGCAGGAAGCGCAGCAGGAGGGCTGCCAAGGCCCAGTTGAAGGTTCAAGTTATGGCCGCCCACGAGAAGGAGCATGCAGGTAAACACAGCCCAAGCGGACCCGGAAGAAGGCGCACACCCGAGGACAGTCTGTCTCCTTTCTGCGCGGGGGTCACATGGGTAGCCCGAGGTCCCCCGGCCCTTCGTGGCTTTGGAGTCCACCGTGCAAGTGCTAAGACGCCCCAGGTTTTCAAAGCAGGCTCAAGGCCCTTAGGCTTCCGGTCGGAGGCTTCCCCTCATAGCAGGGTTAAAGATGATCTCAAACCAGCTCTTCTGCATGGCTGCGAAGTCTGACCTGTAGTGGTCCAAGGGGTCTGGCCTCTAGTGCCCTGTTTACTGGGACTTGAACCCGAAGGGCTTCCAAAAATGTCACCATAAAATGGTCAGGAGCCGGTGATTCCATGTATAGCTCTGCTTTAAAGCTTTAATTGGCAGAGAGCCAAAAAAGTCCGCAAATAGTACATTTCTCCGTGAAAAATGTCCACAATACCGTCTTCCTCTAAAAATTTGTCTTTTTTATTTTAATGCAGGAAAGGATCCAATAAACGATGAGCGTGAGGAGAGAAATCCTTTTGCAGAAACAGGGGAGGAAGATGTAACTACTGGGCATGGCGAAATAGAACCTTTTGCTGAAACAGATGAACACAAGGGGTAAAGTGTTAAGTCACTGTTGCCTGTCGGATAGTCTTTTAGGAAAAGTCAGCTTTGGATCATGTTATCACTTTTCTAGTCTATGCAGAACATTTCACGTAAGACAATTTTTCCCAACAAACATGGCATTTTGTGTAGTCCTATGTTAAAATTTTGATGTAACTTTTTTTTTTTTTTTTTTTATAGGGTTGATACCAAGAAGCCAGAAGATACTGCAGGTACGCTTTAGGAAGTATCTGTAGTTTATGAAAATTGTTTTCAACCATACAACTGTTACAGCAGGTTATATGAATTAGTGGACAACAAGACTGTCTTAAATGCCTTCTTCTCATATGTAGCATTTAACATAAGTATTTACCTTAATCTGTTTGATAAATTTTTCTTACCTTTTTGATTGTTGGTGTGGAATGTGAGAATGCTTCTAACAATGGTGAAGCGAGAGGGATGGCTTTTCTTTCTTACACATGGAAATTTAATTGTTTGGGGGATTTTAGAGGCCATTGGAGGAGAAACAGGTCTATTCAATCCTTTTGGTGTACGCAGATTAAGTAATATATCAGTTTTTTTTCAATTTTTTACTTTAGGTTTGGGGGTACATGTGCAGGTTTGTTACATAGATACATTGCATGTCACAGGGGTTTGCTATACAGATTATTTTGTCACCCAGATTATAAGCATAGTACCTGATGGGTGGTTTTCATCCTCACCTTCCTCCTAGCCTCCACCCTCAAGTAGGCCCAGGTGTCTGTTGTTCCCCTCTTCCTGTCCCTATGTACCCAGAGTTTTTAATATGAGTTTTTCATCTTCCTAATTCAGCTATTCTGTTGTCACAGCTTTCTGATTTTGTTGTCTTTAAAGTACAAGAGAAAACTGAATTCTCTAAAATGATTTTCTATTATTATTCCAGCAATAAACTGTGTAGTAGAAAAGGAAAGACAACTTCTACCCAGTGAGAAACATGTCATTGGATCCAAAAACTTGTAAATTTTGTATTGCCATGTGACATATTAGTTGCACTGTTATAGGACCATATTTTCAAAAATGTTTGAGAAAATTTCTGTAGAGACAGTGGGGACAATACTCTTATTTTTGAAAAGCTCAATTCAGTTTTCAGCTTTTCTATAGTGATAATTCATACAAGCAGAATATTTGAAAAGCTTTGCTCACTTGGTGGTGACAAAGTGTTGGTTTTGTGAGTTGCCTAATACATTGAGTGTGTTATAGATCGATACCGTATTTGAAAAATATTTGTATTATGGTGCAGATATTTTATGATTGCTGAAAACTATTCTTAGTGCTTGATGGTAGATCTCTTATGCAAAATCGTGTTTAGGAAAGCATTCCTTGCAGTATTACAGTTTTCTGAAACACAACACTATGGACAAAAATGTCATATAAAAACTCCAAGAAAGTATTTCAAAAGTGTTTTTGAATGTATTTCTTTATTTAAACCTACATTTTCATACCCATGGATGTTGCTTCTTTTATTAAAATACAGTTAATAGCATAAATCAGTAGATTGCTTAAAAATACTTTTCTTATTGCGTATTAACTTATTTCTACCATTTTGGTGGTCTTATTAAATAAGATACTTTTTCGTGTGCTTTACATAATCAGTTGTGACAGTATTTCATGGAACCATGTCCCTTGATTGTAGGACATTTTATAAATGTAGAAATTAAAGTCTATGCTTATAACCCTTTCTGCACACTTAAAAAACAGAAACTTTTAATTACTTGCTTTTTCATCATCTGACAATTAAGTGATTTGCAGTTATACCAATTGGAATTGCAATACTAATATTAATGCCTGAAAGATTTTACAGAAAATGAGTAAATCTTGCTTTTTGAAATGATCTTTGCTTTATATATTTTAAATATCCTTCTGATATTGCTGAACCATAATGTCCCATATTGATGTCAATATATGCAAATAAACTACTTGTCAACATTAACATAGTGCATTTTCATTTACTATCTAGCTGGCATTAGCGAGGATCTTGCTGCAAAAAGAAAAAGGACTGAAATGGATACAGAGGCTCGCCGCAAAGCAAAGAAAAAAAGTAAACGTGCTTTGAGGAAAAAACAACTTATAAAGTATGTTGGCTTTTTTGCATAATGATATTTATATTATTTCTTTGTATTCATTGGTGCAAATAATTTCAAAAATCATCCTGTACATATTTTCGTCTCTAGTGAACAACATATTTTACTTGACTGTTCCCTAAGCAAGTAAGTTTCTTTAGTTCTATAACCTCGGTTTAACAGAATTGAGAGATATTACCCAGAAGCCAATGAAGATGACCTCTTTTTGCCTTCCAGATAAAAAGAGTCTGCCTATAAAATTAATTTTTATCCATTTCTAGAAGTATGGAAGCTGAATAAAAGATAAATGTCCTCAATGCTTAGTCTGTACATCCTTAACGATACTCAATTATGTAGAAAGGGATAAACTTATGTTGTAAATAAGTTATCTATTTTAGTTAAATTGTTTCACTATTTCTTTTACAAAATCATTGTTGTGCCAAAGTGGAGAAATAGTTAAGTATTTCTTTTGGGAAATCTTACAGGATGATTGGCTATGATATTCTTGAACCTACTTATGAGAACCCATATGTTGTTCAGTAAGAGGAAATGAAAAGTAAACTGCTCTTAGAGAAAATGATTATTTCTGAGAGATTTATACTGCAGTAAACCCTCCTTTGTCTTTGGCACGTAAAGAATGTAAGACAGCTGCTGTAGTAGTCAGTTAGGAAGGAATCCCTTCAGATTGAGAGCAACTCATTTCACCTTTCCCCCCAAACAAGATTTCAGCTGCTATTACTCCCTTGCTACTTTACAGTATAAATTATCACAAGTCAGTTTGGGTTTGAATAGGATTAATTTTTCATCTCTTTATGACATATGACCATGTTACTTACTATGTGTTACAGGCAGAAACGTGATTATAAACATTCTCTGAAGTTGCTGAATGTCCTTGATGAATGCATCGCAGATGAGCAGAAACATGAAGAAGAAGAAGAGGGAGAAGAAGAAGAACTGATTGTTGGTATCAGGCTTAGCTTTATGATTAACCTATTGTATCAATGTCTCTGGTAGTATTAATTCATGCAGACATCCAGCAAAGAAGGAAGAGAGCATGAGCCCAGAGAGGGGGGCCCGTTAGTGGACTCATGGACTAGGGGAACATAATTGCCATGCAGCGTTAGGGGTCAAACTGAAGTCAGTGTCATAGCGATTAAGAAGTTAAAGCAAGCCCAATTGGCATATTTGTGTAAGAACACCTGTAGGGTTGGAATTTTTGGGGTTGGAGTGTAGCTGAGCGTGTTGATCTAGGGAGAGTTGGGCAGCGCATAGATACAGGGATGGGGTTGCGATGACTGGCTGTGGTCATCACAACCAGTGATGGAATTTCAGCTGGGACTGAGTTACCTGATCACATGGGGGTGGGCAATGGTCAGTGAAAAGTACTCCATTCAGTGGGTGTCAGGTCCCAACAGACTTTTGAGCTGTAGTACTGAAGTGAGTGACCCACAATGGCAGGGAGGTAGTGGCTGTATGTTGGGAAGATGGAGAAACAGCTGAATGTGGTGGTCAAGGTCTGAGACTCTGCAGCTACACTGCTTGGGATCCAAGTCCAGTTTGGCTATTGCTAGCTCGGAAATCATGGGCAAATTATTTATCTCTGTGCCTCAGTTTCCTTATCTACTAAAGGAGACATGGTAAGAGTACCTACCTCAGAGTTGTTTGGAGGATTAAAGGGTTCCTATGTAACAGGTTTATTTAAATTTTTCAGGATGTGATCTGACCCATGGTTGCTCTTCATTGTTGCTATTATTAATATTACGTAGGTGTTGAAGTCATTGGGAATGACAAAATCTAGGAGGATGACTGTGCGAGTGAGCGCTACGTGGAGGAGAGGAGAACACTGTAATTGGTAGTTGGAGACTAGGTGAAGGTGTAGAAAGGCAGTCATTATTGGATGGTTCATCTATGTGCATATTGAAATGACCAAAATTTAATACATGTTTAAAATCTTAGAATATTTCTTAATTTCTGTGTAGATCTTACCTATCTATGGTCAACAAATTATAGGAAGGTTCATCAAATAGTCTTCATCTGAAATAAAGAATTAGGACATACGTGTTGAATATGTATAAGAAAGAAAATTTTTTACTCAATGACGGATAAAAAAGGTTATTGCATCATTTTAGCATGTGATTGGTGAATGCAGTTGTTTCAAATTCGTCCTAAGTGTTGTCTAAAAGAAAGTGTTCAGAAATATTGATTTAAAGAGTATTCCTTTAAAGTTAATGCAGAATTATGTTTTGTAAGTATTAAAATTTGCCCAATTTTTACCACTATTTTGTTTTGTAATTCTAGAAAATATTTCAAGAACAACAGAAGAGGTGGTACCGATATAGAAGTCTTAGGAGAGAGAGACTGACAGCGATGAAGCTGCTACGTGAGCAATTCATAAAGGTTTGTTCTATTTGGTAACATAATAGACTATAAAATACAACGTGCATAATAGAAGACAGTCTGCTTCTTTCTGAATGTATGGAAAGACATTTTAGTTATACATTTTAAATTACTCACCATTTTCACATTGAATGTATTATTCCAGATTTAATATAATTGGTAAATGTGTTTTTAGGATTCATGAATAGTTTTGTGGGAGTTATTTAGAACAGGAAAAGGTAAATTGGAAATTTTACCTAGAAATGTACATCTTACGTATATAATTGATACTTTACTAACACATTAACCTATTTATGCAGGAGTTTGCAATTTTTTTGTGTGTGTGAAAAATCAGACCCTGGCTATGACCTTTGAACAGTAGGATATACATGATTCCCACAAGCTTAGAATTGCAATAATGGAACACTAGACATAAATGGGTTTTAATGAAGATTTTATTTTCAGTTTTCAGGACATCAGCAACAAATCTATGGTGAAAGGCAGGAAGTCCATAAATCCTTTCTGGATGTATTTTATATTTGTGTTGTTTTAACAGTTTTAGATAAATAGGAAGTAGGCAAGTGTAACTACTGAGTGTCTCTTTTGTTTCCTGCTGTAATACAGGAGTGTTTTATGGCATATTCACTTTCAAAATTATCAGTGACTAGTAATGGTTTTACATGACAATTTGCAATCGTAAGAGATGGTTCAGATGTATAACAGAATGGGAAAGCCAGCAGATTATTAACAAGCTGTGAATTCGGGATTATCGGCTGCTGGACAGCACATTGGCAAATTGCCATCAGACAATGACCTCTTCTTCATGTAGATGTATATAATTTAGGAAACAATGCAATTATTTTTAGGGCAGTAAGGTATTCTTTTTAATAACCTTGTGAAAATACACGTTCATATGTCACTCTTCTACACTAACTGAGATGTGTTAAATAAACTGGGAAAATAGTTTGAAAATAACCTTTTCGAGCAACTTGAGGATGATCTATACAAAGTTAATTAAAGAGAAGTCACAAGTAGAGAACTTGTTGCTACAATGTTCCCCAGAAACCATTTATTAATTGGTATGAACATGAAACTAGAAGTTTTCCTGTCAACATTAATGCCACATGTTACCACTTAGGGTAGGACCTTTGCTATCATCTTGGACTCTTCTGAGTCCATTATCCTTCCCATCCAGTTATCACCAGGCAAGTTTCACCTCTGCAATGGTCCTTTAATTTCTATCTTTAAATTCCCACTGAGGCTGCGCTAGTTCAAGACCTCATTCTTCCTTGCTCATACTATTTAATTTAATTATTTAATTTATTTATGCATTTTGAGATGGAGTTTAGTGAAACTCCATCTTGTTTCACTAAACAAGATGGAGTTTCATCTTGTTGCCCAGGCTGGAGTGCAATGGCGCGATCTTGGCTCACAGCAACCTCCACCTCCCTGGTTCAAACGACTCTCCTGTTTCAGCCTTGCTCGTACTATTAAACTCTTTTATGAGTTCTCTCTTCTCTTCCAAGCCGTCCTTCATTGATCCCCAATACTATCTTCCTAAAACCCTTCCCTTCCTAAAATACTTCCTAGCCCTTCCCTCTTCCCTACGTGTCAGTGGTACCCACGTCTCAGTTCTTAGATATTCAGAGACTCTCCCCTTAGTCTAAGAGGGGATTCATGATCCCCTCTTAGTCTTGTTTTGCTGCCCTCTGTTTTTGCTCCCGCCTCTCCAGGTTGACAGCCTTCCCTGAAGGAACTCACCGTTACTCCCATGCTTTGCTCATGCTCTTCCCTCGCAATGCTTTTAAAATCGGTTTTTTTTTTTTTTCTTTTTGACCAATTGAAAGCTTTTGCCAGCTAAGTCCACATCGGTCTCCATCTTTGGCTACATGTCTGAGTGAGTCGCCCTTCCATAGCAGTTACACAATTGTTGTATTACTTTTTTTTTTTTTTTTTTTGAGACGGAGTTTCGCTCTTGTTACCCAGGCTGGAGCGCGATCTCGGCTCACCGCAACCTCCGCCTCCTGGGTTCAGGCAATTCTTCTGCCTCAGCCTCCTGAGTAGCTGGGATTACAGGCACCTGTCACCATGCCCAGCTAATTTTTTGTATTTTTAGTAGAGACGGGGGGGTCTCACCATGTAGACCAAGATGGTCTTGATCTCTTGACCTCGTGATCCACCCGCCTCGGCCTCCCAAAGTGCTGGGATTACAGGCTTGAGCCACCGCGCCCGGCCTTTTTTTTTTTAAATTCGTGCATTTGCTCATGTCACAGGAATATGGAAGAGATTGTGTATTCATTTTTTTTTTTTTTACTTCTTCCTCAGCATTAACATACAAATTTTAGGGAGCAGGGACTGTTGAACTATGTTTGAGTAAAGAGTATACACTTCAAAAATAGTTACATTTTCTCTAACTTGATGAGGTCATATCACCAACCATTTATCCCTTCAATGGAAATCACATTCCGTAGACTATTGCTGATAATACATGGGTCACTACCTGCTCAAAAAATATAACATTTCATGATACAAGACTGCCAGTCGTTTTCTGTCTTTACTTCATCTTGACCTTAAGAAGTTCTTCAACCCATTTTATTCAAGCAAAGTACATGACTGTTGGACCTACTAAAATAATATGTCACTGAAATCTGGCATTAAAAATTTTAAGTGGGTATTTGGAGCTCCATGTATGGACTACAGTTTTTTCAATTTGAAATAAATAACCAACATCCTTTGGATATTATAATCTGTTTCCTTTTGACATTTAATTAATCCTGTTTAATGCTAGATGTAAAGTGGTGGTTTGTCAGTGAACTAGACTTTTTGTTTTAGGTTATCAAGAAGTTTGAAGACTATTGTCGTGAAGTTTTTTCTGATGAAGACAGTGAATTTGATAACTAGTCATGTTTTTAAATTTTGTCAGAGACTGTAAGTAGTGCATATTTAATCTTAAAATCTCAGGATTGATGTAAGCACTGGAATATTTTATTTGCAGAAATGTGTATCACAGTTACTTAATTTTTTTCTTGAAACAGCTGTAGGAAGAGTTGGCCCTTAGTTGTCTCTCCAACCTCAGTTATGCAGATGACTGAAGAAGGAACTTGAACCTGTTACATGATACAAGCATAATTTGAACTACACTAAACCACATGACAATGTTTTGATAATTCTTGTGTAAATCAGTTTATCTTCTCTATCATTTTTCTGTTTGTTAAATGCCAGACCTTGTTTCTATGATCTGTTGAATGAACCCTAGACACTTCTGTGAGAAAGCAGCAATTGCACAGTTACGTACATGGTCAATTAAATTTTAACATTAAAGATCATTTAAATTTCAGTTTGGTCTCTGTGGATCTGTCTCAGTTCCAAATATGCAGAAAGCACAGTCATAGAAAAGTACATTTTTCTCTAATAAAAGAAAACAAAACCTCCACTGGATGCGGTAGCTCATGCCTGTAATCCTAGCTCTTTGGGAGGCCGAGGCAGGTGGATCACTAGAGGTCAGGAGTTTGAGACCAGCCTGGACAACATGGTGAAGCCACATCTCTACTAAAAATACAAAAAAAAACCAGGTGTGGTGGCACGCAACTCTAGTCCCAGCTACTCAGGAGGCTGAGGCAGGAGGATCTCTTGAACCTGGGAGACAGAGGTTGCAGTGAGCCGAGGTTGCAGTGAGCCAAGTTTGCGATACTGCACTCCAGCCTGGGGGACAGAGCACGACTCTGTCTCAAAAAAAAAAAAAAAAAAAAAAAAAGAAGATGATGACAAAACCAATCTTACTGTGTATTCTTTTGTATTTGCTAATTATAGTAAAGAGATAATTCCAATGAAAGTAGGACTTCAAAAAATAGATATACTCAAAATTATTAAAAGTACCTTACTGTCTGTGTTCTTGAAAAAATTATACAACTGTAAATGATTAAGGCAACTGAGGAAGATATGTTAATATCAGTGCTGAGCCACTGGTTTGTGGGTCAGTCATTTCCATAAAGACATCAAAATGCCATTTAGTTTGTTTTGGTCCACCATTCAATGATACCTCCCCTTAGTATTGAATGAAAGTAGTTTGTTAACATTTATGTATGCTTACAAATATTTCACATCTGTGGCAAGGTAAATTATGTAGAGTGCTTTCTTTTTCCAGTTTAATATTTGTGGATTATTTGGAAGTGTATACATGCATCTGAAAACTCTAAACACCTACCTTTCCTTTTTTAATGTGCAGTGTTCACATGTAACAACATATAACAACATGTAATAACATGTTAAAATGTTTTGCCTGTAACAACATGTTAAAAAGATGTACATGTTTTTACATGTAAAAGAATTTTTACACAACATGTTAAAAAAAGAAATGTTCATTTGCAAACACTTTAGTAAATATGAAATTCAGAATATATTTGGAGTAAGTCAATTAAATGTATTCTTTTGCTGAGTTTCTGAAATTCCATTCATGAATTGTTCAAAAGAGAGCGGCTTCCTCTTATTTTTCCTTGTGCTTTTCATTTTAATTGGCCCCTATATATCACTCTTATCTTTTCTAGGTTTTCCAAGTTTAAGAAAAAAAACAAGTTCATTCAGATTCTGTTTTTCTGCCTGCAATCACTTATACAGGAATAGGTCCCTATGGGGAGCATTTAATTCCTAAAGTTTGCGTTTTCATAAAGGATTTTCCTTTTACCCAAAGCGTGTCTTGGTACTACTAAGTACTATGAAGTACCACTTCATTTGACCCAGCAATCCCATTACTGGGTATATATCCAAAGGATTATAAATCGTTCTACTATAAGGACACGTGCACACGAATGTTGATTGCAGCACTGTTTACAATAGTAAAGACCTGGAACCAACCCAAATGTACATCGATGATAGACTGGACAGGGAAAATGTGGCATATATACACCATGGAATATTATGCAGCCATCAAAAGCGATGAGTTTGTGTCCTTTGTAGGGACATGGATGAACCTGGAAACCATCATTCTCAGCAAACTGACAGAAGAGCAGAAGATCAAACACTGCATGTTCTCACTCATAGGTGGGTGTTGAACAATGAGAACACATGGACACAGGGAGGGGAGCATTACACACTGGGTTCAGTTGGGGGGAAATAGGGGAGGGACGGTGGGGGATGGGGAGCTGGGGAGAGATAGCAAGGGGAGAGATGCCAGATGTAGGTGATGGGGAGGAAGGCAGCAAATCACACTGCCACGTGTACCTATGCAACAATCTTGCATGTTCTTCACATGTACCCCAAAACCTAAAATGCAATAAAATAAATAAATGGGAAAAAAAAGTACTACATCATGTTTCTACGAAGATCTTTATTTGAGATCTCTTTCAGTAGTTACAGAGGCAAAATGAGCAGAGGTCCATGTGTGAGTTCTATTGCACATACTGGACTATCTGACTACTATTTACTCTACAGTGGAAGGATGAGAAAGAGGCCACAATGTACTTAGTGATGGAACAGTTGATACTTATGCCACCCCTTACTACCTAAAATGAGTAACTGTGTACTTGAAGTCATATTTTTTTTAGAGACTGGGTGTCATCTGGCCCAGCCAGAGTGCAGTGATACAATCATAGCTCACTGCAACCTTGATCTTTTGGGACTCAAGTGATCCTCTCACCTCAGCCTTTGGAGTGGCTGGCACCACTGGTGTGTGCACCACTCCCAACTAATATGTATATATCTGTGTGTGTATATACACACACACATATAAATATATTATAATTATATAATGTAAATAATATATATATACATATATACATATAGTTTTTTCTTTTTTTATTGCATTTTAGGTTTTGGGGTACATGTGAAGAACATATAAGATTGTTGCATAGGTACACACATGGCAGTGTGATTTGCTGCCTTCCTCCCCATAACCTATATCTGGCATTTCTCCCCATGTTATCCCTCCCCAACTCCCCACCCCCCGCTGTCCCTCCCCTATTTTCCCCCCACAGACCCCAGAGTGTGTGATGCTCCCCTCCCTGTCTCCATGTGTTCTCATTGTTCAACTCCTGCCTATGAGTGAGAACATGTGGTGTTTGATTAGTTTTTTCTTTCCAGAGATGAAGCCTCCCTGTATTGCCCAGACCAGTCTCAAATTCCTGGCCTCAAGTGATCCTCCTGCCTCAGACTACCAAATTGCTGGGATTCCAGGCATGAGCCACTGAGTCTGGCTGCATTATCTCACTTCTATGTGGAATCTATAACAGTTGAACTCACAGAAACAAAAAATAGAGTGGTGGTTTCCAGGAGCTGGGGGAGGTGGAAGGTTGGGGAGATGTTGGCCAAAGGGTAAATAAAAGATTTCAGTTAGGAGGAGTGAGTTCAAGAGCTCTATTGTAAAACACTGTGATAATAGCTAATGATAGTATTGTATTTTTAAAGATTGCTAAGAAGGTAGTTTTAAAGAGTTCTCACCACAGAGAAAATTATACTCAGGTGAAGTAATGCAGATGTCAACTAGCTTGATGTAGCTATTTAACAATGTATACATGTTTCAAAGCAACTTGCTGTAGACGATATATACCGTTTAAGTTTGTCAATTAAAATAAGTTAGTGAAATGTTTAGAATTAAAAACATACATTTATTACCTTGCAGTTCTGTAGTTTCATGTAAAGTCTGGGATGAGTGTCTTTGGGTTACAACTCAAGATGTCAGTGGGCAGTGTCCCTTCTCAGGGTGGTAGGGGAGGAGATGTTTTCTTGTATTTTTCAGATTTGGAAAGCTCCCTCCATCCCTTGTCTCATGGCCTCTTTCTTCACCTTAAAAGCCAGCATTTTGGGGGGAACCTTCTCATGTCACTGTCTCTCTGGTTCCTTTCTCCTGCCTCTCTCTTACACTTAGAAAGACCCCTGGATTCCACTGGACTCCCGCAGAGATAACCCAGGATAATATCCACGTTTCAGATCAGCTGATTGGTACCTGTCATTGGCACCTTCCAACTCATTTCCTCCCTTGCCTTGTCATCTCACATGTTCACAGTTTTCAGGGATGAGTTCCTGGACATCTTTGGAGGGTACTTATTTTGCCTACCAAATGCACCCTTTCTTTAAGTGCACCTCATCTTAAAAATGGCATTGTTTTAGGCAGGCACAGTATCTCATGCCTTTAATCTCAGCAGTTTGGGAGGCTGAGGTGGGAGGATCACTTGAGGCCAGGAGCTTGAGAACACCCTGGCCAATGTAGCAGGATCCCATCTGTACAAAATAATTTTTTAAATGCCACCATTAGAAAGAGGGAGGTAGAATGGATTCCATCCTGGTCTTAGCCCTTGTTCAAAGGTGTTGACTTGCATAAACTGAGAAGCCACAGTGGCAATAAAAAGTTCATCCCTTGCTACCCTCAAGGAGAAATGCCAGCTCCCATAAGCATATGACGTCTTTGTATATGTGTCCGTGTGCTAAGAAACAGATTCGCTGAGTTAATGGAGGCTTTGAAGTCTGTGCTGTCTTCTTCCTGGCTGCAAATTGTATGCGATGGCTCAAGGGATCCTCTCACTTCAGGCCTCTCAAGTACCTGGGAATACAGGCATGTACCACCTCTCTGGCTAATTTTTGTGTGTGTGTTTTGTAGGGACATGGTCTCGCTGTGTTGCCCCAGCTGGTCTTGAGCTCCTGGCCTCAAGTGATCCTCCTGCCTCAGCCTCCCAAAGTGCTGGGATTACAGGCATGAGCTACTGCATCTAGCTGACCTACGCACTTTGTTTTTTATTTTATTTTAATTTTTATTTTGCTTCTTATTTTGAGACAGGGTCTTGCTCTATCACCCAGGCTGGAGGGCAGTGGCACAATCATAGCTCACTGCAACCTCTGTCCCCTGGCCTCAAGTGATTCTCCCATCTCAGCCTCCTGAGTAGCTAGGTTCACAAGCACACATCACCCTGCCCAGCTATTTTTTGTGTTTTTAGTACAGAAGGGATTTTGCCATGTTGAAATACACTCTCTTTATATAAAACATATGTCTATCTATTCCTGAGTACAGATCAAAAACATTTTTTATTATTTGAATTTGTAAGAGGTGTATGTGTAAATAGAAAAGTAAATGCTTATGATAAAATTAATCATAATTAAAATTATTGCATAATTAATATATTTGCTTAGTGAAATGTTAATATTTTCTTTAAATATCATTACTAACACACAATAAACTAAATCCTACCTTGGGTTTTATTACACAGTTTAGGACTTTTATTGCATGTCATAATCTTTGTAGTACCATAAATGAATTTTAACATCTCTAAGCACAGGAGAAGATCATATATTTCATTGCCCTTACCTTACAGCTAGTAAACAGTTGATCATTTCAGAAATCAAGCATTTGAA